CTTCCAGCCAAACAAAAGACAGACATATAAGCTGAACATTTATATTAGGTAGATACACTCCTTGGAAAGATCAATTATGGGAGAATAGCAGGGCTGTGTGTGCACAGGGAGACAGCTCGGGGGGGGGGGCAGGAGTGCATGGGAGGGAAGGACACCAGGAAAAGGTAACTATGGGGAGGAAGTGGGAGGGGAGCTGTTGCATTGTGGGAAATTGCAGTCAATGTCATGAGGCAAAGTGTATATGAGCTGCTGTATGGAAAATGAATTTGCTCTGGAAACTTTCACCCAAATTACAATTTAAAAAATTAAAAAACAAAAACAAAAACAAAAGATGACAGCCTAGAAAACCCTATGGGGCATTTCTACTCTGTCATATAGGGTCGGTGTGAGTCGGAATCCACTTGATGTCCCACAACTACATGATGCTTTAGTAGAGTCCTTGGGTGGCACAAACAGTTAAGCGCTCAACAACGAACGGAAAGGTCAGTGGCTTGACCCACCCAGAGGCACCTCAGAAGAAAAGGTCACAGCCATGAAAAGTCCATGGGGGCAGTTCTACTCCACAGCTCACGGGGTTGGCAGAAGCGGCAGTCAACTCAGTGGCAGCTGGTTTGGTTCTTTTCTTTCTTTCTTTTCTTTTTTTTTCAGTGATGCTTTTGGCCACTTACCTTTTGGGGAATGTTTGTTACCACAGCACAGTGTAGCCTATGCTGCCTGAAAACTCACAAACACGCCTTCTGAACTCATCACTGTGATGAGAAAATGAGCCAAGTGCCACGAGAAGGGGGAAGGCAGAGCAGGGATGGGATCCAATTTGGAAAGAATATCCAGAAAAGATCACTTTGAGAAGGAGAAAAATAGAAGAGGAGCTAGTGGGGAGGGTTGAGGGGAGAAAGGAAGGACAGGGAGCATGGTTTTAGGCAGAAGGAACTACTGTGCTAAGTACTCAGGAATTAGGGAATTGAATGGGAGAAGTTAGTGGTGGGAAATGAGTCCAGAGAGAAGACTGGAGTGGGGGAGGAGTCACACACTGAAGTTTTAAACAGGGGAGCACCTTTTAAAAACCCTTTCTGGCTGCTGTGTGAAGAGCACATTGGAAGAAAACCAGCACAGAAGACTGAGAGTTAATGCAGTAGTCCAGACAGGCGATGAGGAACTT